CAAAAATGGTTACATTTATTCACACTTGAATTTTTTAAAATTATTAAAGGTTGGAGTTTACAGTAATTAGTTATACTTTGAATGAATTAAAACTTTAAAATATTCCTACTTTTGTGGGATATCATCTCTGTTTTTGTAACTTCTTTGGAGATCTTTAATTCAATTTGAAGTTCTGATTTCTTAATATTAATTTGCAACCTAAGCAAGTTAGAGTTTAATCTTATACAAGTCTTTATTTCAATAAACTATCCATATTAAACTATCTATATTTACTTTTGCTTTCCAGGATTTTAATTAGAATTAATTAGGAGATTCTGACATGTATGTTATAAGATATACAGATTTCTCTCACACATGTACATAATACACACAAACATGCACACCAGTGTGGAAATGTCAGATGTTTTAGGATTGCAATACTTGTCCACAGTTTGGTTTCTTCAGAAAACAGTTCCTGGAAATTGAACAGTATTTCAGCAATAAAAAACTTATCTACAAAGTAAACTTCATAGAACTCAAATCCCTAGAAATTACATGGGAAATAGGAATCTGTAGTGTTACTACAGAGGATGACTATTTCCCATGTGATTTCTTGGGAGTACAGCATCCCTTGGATTTTATTATAACTATCTCTGCCTCCTTTTCAGACCCAGTTGCCACCCAGACTAATTTCCCATTATGTTCTAAGGTCTTGTCTGTTGAAAAATAAATTCATAAAAATTGGTCCATCCTTGTATATCTTATATTTTTTCCAGATTGCTCCCTTCAAATGTTTTAAGACTGTAGTTCCCAGAATTCTTAGCTATCAAGCCAAAGCTTATTTGGAAATTTTGGAGTTTCATCCAAAGAAAAAGGAAGGGGTACCAGGTTGGGCCTCTTCAGGCCTTCTTGGACAATGCTAGCAGCTGTCAGTTTTTAAGAATTAAGGCATACCCCGAACTGTAGAATCATGCAAAAATCTTCTTAGCCAACTTCTTAAAGATATAATAATAGTTTTCTACCATAGAGTCATTGCAAATATAGATCAAAATCATACATGTTATTTTGTATCATTTGAGTTAGTCTTAATAAAAGTATTGTCCAACAATAGATTTGAAATACAGGTAGTCCTCAACTTATGACCACAATTGAGCCCAAAATGTATGTTGCTAAGTGAGAAATTTGTTAAGGAAATTTTGCCCCATTTTATGAGCTTTCTTGCCACATTTGTTAAATTGTTAAATTAGTAATATTGTTGTTAAGTAAATCTCATTTTTCCATTGACTTTGCTTATCAGAAGGTTGCAAAAGGTGATCACATGACCCCGGGACAGTGAAAAAAATATAAATAAACATAAATGTGAGTCAACTGTCAAGCATCCAAATATAAATCATGTGACCATAAGATCATAAGTGTGAAAAAATGGTCATAAGTCACTTTTCAGTGCTGTTGTAACTTTGAACAGTCATTAAGTGAACTGTTGTAAGTCGAGAACTACCTGTAATCCAATTTAAATTATTTAAGCTTAAGGACATTTTTAAAAGGAATAATTAAAATGAAGTTCATTTCAGTTGAGAGGCCTTCATTTGATTTACTATTACATGAAATGCGACAGTCCATTCTCTCTAAAGGGAATACAGGGGAATTATTATGCTATATTTCTCCTGCACCTTGTACATATATATATGCCTGTCTTCTGGAATAAGCCCTTCTCCCACTTTAATCATATTCCAGAAGCCTTAAAACTTGCTCTTCTCCCTTGCGGTAGAGTGGAAAAAAATTCCTCTATACTTCATCAAAGGTATCTAATATTTGTTACCTATGCATTGATGTTAGTGTCCAAATTGCCATTCTATTATTTCCCTTATTATATTTCCTATTTATTTTAACCGTATGACTGCTATGAGCCAACAATGACTTAATGGCATCTAATGAATAAATCAATCAATTGGATTTTGTTGTTATTGTTGTGAGCCACCCAGAGACATTGTGAAGTTGGGAGGTACTAAAATCTAAATTCAGGTAGTCCTTGAGTTATAACATAATGGAGCCTTCCCATTGCACCTGTAAGTTGGTGACAGTTGTAAATCTGATCACCGACACAACTGGCTTGATTTTACAACCCTTTTTAACGCAGTTGTTAAGCAAATGCTGTGGTTGTTAAGTGAGCCAACAATTTGCTATAGGATGCCAAACCTGGAAGTAAAAACTGTCTTTCAGCAAAACCATCAGAAAACCTGGTCATGTGACTATGGGACACTGCAGTGGTCGTAAATGTAGCCTGGTTACTGAATGCGCTAAGTGCGATCATGTGACTATAGAGGGGACCTGACCATCATAGCTTTGAATCTGGCTACTAAATTCCCCAGGAAGGTCTATGATTACCCATTAATAACTTCTGAGATTTTTTGAATTTCAGAAAACATAACTAAAGGAAGGAACAAATTACACAAGTACTTAACAGAACTCTTTATCAATATTTGATTATATCTTTGATGTCATAGGGGATTGCCTCATGAAGAAAGGTTTCCTTTTTTTGTTATGAAACACACCGAAGGTTTTTTTGTTGTACTCTTATTTGCCTCTAAAAATATATAGAAATATGTCTTTGGAAGTTTCATGCCATCTGATCCTCATGTTAGATTCAATACTAAGCTATCATTATATGAAAGATATGATACATTATGTGATGTATTTTAATACATTACATGAAATGTGTTTTACATTTTGTGTGAAAAACTTACTAACATGATCCAATACATCATCTATAATAGAGCATACTAATCTTGTGTAACATTTACATTCACTCAGATGTTTATACAGTATAGTATAAATATATAATATACTAAATAAATAGTATAGTAACTAGTTAACTATCTTCCATTACATACTGATTAACATCTCAGAGCATTTCTAAAATATTCATGGAGAAAGTCTAATGAACTGAGACTGAGTTGTCTATGGAATCTAAAAATTGTATTCTTCCATGTTGAATCCGTTTTAGAAAAAAAAAAACAAAGCTTCCTTCACATAACTTTAGAGCTGCTGAATGGGCAGAGCCTTTCTTTTCAGTCACATTTTGCTGCTGAAAAGGTTTGCCCGCTTTTGAAAGAGTAGCATTGCATCAGCTCTAAAAAAGATGGTATTGACTATATAGCCTTTAAGAGTCAGTGCACAGAACTGTGATAAAACTATCCTTTCTTCTTTCTTTGTTAAAAAAGCTATTTAAACATTAGATTGATGGCACTGTGGGCATTCTTTATCACACTGCCATTTCTTCAGCAGTGCAAGGAATGAGATGTAGTCACAATCATTGATTTTTATTTGTGCACATGGATATAGCCTCACATTCATGTGTATGCCGTACTATCACTCTTTTATCGCTCAGTTTGGAATTAGGCAGGTCAGTATATTTTTGCAATAAAAAATTAATGCGGAGAAATTTATACACATTTTCACCTGCTCTAGATAATAAATCTTATGGTCACACAGTTGCTCATGTGGAAAGAATTATATAACTAAATCTACTTGTGAGGCATGCATGAGTAAGTTGAAGAACACGTATATACCTGAGCTTGTCTCATCAAAAGCAGAGGAAATAAAACAAATTTCCATATTTCAAATATATTTTCATGTCAAACAAGAATCATTAAAGGAAGTCTTCTATGAATATACTTGCTGGGAGTTTTTTAAAGTATTAACAATTCATTTCCTAAATATGCACATAACATGCGTAAAGCACTATTTTGCTTTTTGACAAATAGTGACATCTTTGGTGGCAGGTGACAATACCTGATCGCAGATATTGACAAACGACATGCTTTTGGCAAATGAATAATGAATGGCATGTTACTAGCCATAGTTAATTGAATTTATGACTGCTAACCAATAGAGATGAATGTAGCTTTTCCATTTTAATTTCACCAATTTTCCATTTTTCTTGTTATTACCATTTCAGTTTTTTGCCTCTTTTAATAGACTGCACAATAACTTCCATGCATAGTTTTTATGTCTCATAATGTTTGTAGTATATGCATATTTTTGTAAAATAATTTTTTTAGAATATGCTCTTTAATAATATTTTGTGCAGTAATGTATGCATTTTTCCTAATGTATAACTACCAGCATGCTTTGTATTTGATCTTCCAATTCCCTCCCTCCTCCCCCAAGACTACCAAATACCTCACCAAACCTTTGATAATAGGTCTATTTGGACTTGGCAAGCACCTCCTCCATCTCCATTGTGACATGTGTGTATAAAATTGCCCCCTTAATGCACAATCTGTTCCTGTTAGAGCACCATTTATATATCATAGTTTGACTGGGTTCTTTTAGAACAAGAGATATCTTTCGATTGACCAGGATGACAACCCACATACTCCTCCCTAGACTCTGTCCGATCCAGATGTTTCTACCTTGTTTCTTTTTCAGCTCCCGCACAAGGTCTTGAAAGTTTTCACCAAACTTTTTTATTTTCCTCCCCATTTCCTTAGCTTCTGCTCAAACTCCTCACAAGAATCACTTCCCCATTGTTGTTTCTCCTCCCTTCGAGATTCTGCAATTTCAAAATCAGCCATCTGCCTATTGCATTCCTGCGAGAATTGGAAGTATAAGATTAGACATTGCTATTTTTAATCACATGATATTAAATAATATAGGTGTGATACTGTCCATGAAAATGCTGATTACAATCAAAATACTGTCACACTGATTTGAGGTGCACTCCAGGGAAGTTGTATGATTTCATGTAGCTTTTCCACTGCTCCCATTGGGTTGCTGAAATTGTGCAGGACACCTGGTCTGATATAAATGAAGTATGAATTTGAAATGAAAATATTCAAATGTGCAGATCCTAAGTACATAGAACATAGAATATCAGAGTTAAAAAAACTGAATATGTTTTACAAAAGTTGCTTGCTTTATTGGAATAGTTTTCTAAACAATTGTCTAAAAGACCAAAGTTATAAAATTGTGTATTAATAATACATTGTTTGGTGTGGTTTTTTTTCTTTATTCCTCAGAGCGTGAAGCAAAAGAGTCCTGTGCTTGGTTACGCGCTGCTGGATTTCCTCAGTATGCTCAACTTTATGAAGGTATGCTTTAGAAATCCATGTTTAATCCATAACATTAGTTACAGCAAAGATTATTGTGTTTTTTGATGCTTTATTGTTGAAGGGAATACACATGCATCTTCCAAAGCGTTAGAACTAAATCTGGTAGATTTCATCAATAGAAATACTAATTTTGGGTTAACTAGAAAATCACATTGAATTAAATAATGAAATCTGCATGTTGAGATATTCTTAGATTCCGTATTGTGTAGATGTACCTCAGCTAATGTGAAATGTTTTTTGCAGTGTGTTCTAAACTTGAAAAAAAATGAGAATCTAACAGGACCCTAACATTTTGACTGGCACTGTCAAAAAATTTGGGTTTTGCCTGGTTTCCACCCACAATTTTTTGAGAATGACCAGCAGAGTGTCTTTTAAAGGCCAAATAGAAGGCTTAGTGTTATAAGCTCAAATTATTTTATTGGCAAGTAGTTTGTATGATGTCAGTATGCAATTTACATGTGCTTTTCATTAAAGGCAATGCTAATAATGATGATGTGGTGAATGCAGAAGAGTAAAAGAGCTTTCTGCTGGAATAATGCCGCCTTCCCTAACTCCTTGTCTTTCAAATATGTTAAACTTTTACTTTCTGTATTTATTAGCCGAAGGGATGGAGAGTAGAAAAATCAGGCAGTGAATGAACAATAACTCTTTCTATACTAGTGACTGGAACATTACTATTTACTGACTGTTACTTATTTACCAAAAAAGGTTGAAAAATGAACCTTCTAATGTTGTATTGCATTCAGAACAGGATACATTAACATCATTTTAATGAATAAGTTTTATTTATGTTGTATATATTGTTTGAGAATGTATCCAATATCTCTCAAAGTCAAGTGTTTGTTGCTATGGAAATAAATAGTTCTTCTCTTGTAGATTACCAGTTCCCTGTTGATATTGCTGCTGTGAAAAAAGATCATGATTTCCTTGACAAAGACCTTGTAGAAACTCTTTGTAGGTAATGTGCTTTCTGTTTCATATTATTATTTTAGTATCCTTTGTAAAGTTATGGCGTTTTACACAATGCAGAGGATTCTGCAAATTTTAGGCAGATTTTGATTGCTACCAACCTCCTTTCTCTGCTGGAAATTATGGGTTTTATTCATCCTTGGTTTGCAGCAACTCAGCTGGTTCCCAAAGCTGGGCCTTAAGTAAACTTGAGCTTCCTGAATGGATCAGAATTGGAAAATGAAACCTTAAAAAATGCCTTTAAAAAACCTGCTAGGTTTTCAAAGAGTGTTAGTTATGAATGAGTTCACCATATATGAATTGTTGCTTCTGTGGGCAAACTGCAAGGAAATAATTTCACAACACCTTTTCTGTAGAACAGGGGTGTCAAACTTGTAGCCCGCGGGCCAGATGCATCACATGCTGGTACCGCCCTGCCCGGTTTAGCAAAGGGGGGAAAAAGTCCCGATAGGTCACGTGATGCTGCCGTGATGACGAGTTTGACACCCCTGCTGTAGAACATTGTTCTAGCATTTTAATTTTATTTAGCTTCTCACACTCAAAGGGTAACAAGATATTACTGATTAGTGTTTCTTAAAATGGTCTTGCCTAGGATCTGACAGATATCACAGATGGAGAATCATGTCTTCTGCCATTGCCACTTCAAATGGGTGTAAGAATCCAAGTGGACCAGATTTAATCAGAAAACTAAAGACTTAATTTTTTTCATATCTTTGGCAATCTGTTTCAAAGTTTTAGAAAGGCCACAGAAGATAGGACATAATTTTTGCCTAAAAATAATCATCTTAAATTGGCATTGCCTTAATTAAAACATAGGCGTTCACTTTGAAAAAAAATACCTTTCTTTTTTTTTTCAAATGGATTCTGTCATTTCTTAAATATTTAATCGTGAGGAGATCAACTCGTGGTCTAAAAATGACACCAAGATAGAGTTTATAGAAAGTAGGTGTTATGGAATAATAATTCCAGGCCAATCAAACAGAGGAACCTAACAAGTGAAGAGAAAAGTTTATTCAGCAATGAATTTTGGAACTGCCCTCAAGAACAGATACCAACATTAGAATGGTTATACTATGCATAGCAGGCATGTCTCTATTTCTCAGTGGTTTAATGTATGCTTTTGCTTTATGTGGCCTATATTTCATGCACGTACAAATGTACTCTGCCTCCTACATGTCTTTTAAAATATTCTAAATGGTAAACTATTCTATATGAGTACGACTGTACTACCTTACTTTTCTTATATATAACCTGTTCATTTGGTATTCTTTTAATTACTTACAGTCTTTAGATTTTACTGCAATTAGAACAGTAAAGCACAAATATTCAGGCTTTATTTTTTTCAGAACTGTTTAGACATTTTTGTGATGTATATTGATACATCATTCAAGTTGTTATATGGGAGCCTAGTTTCCAAGGATTGGGGGTCCAGCGGCAAGTCTTCTCAGCAGTAGCCCCTTCATCTGGAAGCAGTAGCCTTCAAAGACAGCCACTTTTCTTTGGGCATCCAGGAAGACTGTTAACACAGCACTTTTACAAAAATTCTGACACAAGAAGTGTCAGTTAACTGGACACAGATGCTTGCAGTGTTGATGATCCCTGCCTCAGATAGTGATGGTCTTTTTTTTTTCTTAAACAGTATATAAACTGCCTAAAATCACAGGTGAAATGCATTATACATTTTGGCAAATAAATAATTTTATTTCTAATAGAGGGCATTAGGTGGAGGGCTTGATAGAGAGGATGCATTTGTGCTTAAATTTTGTTTAAATTTTATATAAAAGTCCATTTCTAGTTATGATAACAAATACCTATTTTTTTCAAACCATCAGACTATTTGCTAGATTATATGGGCTTCAAGATAATGTAATTTCCTATTCTCATCTCATTCATAGGAATTAATCATGCATCTTGCATTCAAATCAAAGAAGAAACTAAATTTGATATTATGAAGAGCCAGTCAATAAGTTCAGTATGATTCTTGTTTTATTTTTAGACGATTGAACACACTGAATAAATGTGCCTCAATGAAACTTGATCTGAACTTTCAAAGAAAAAAGGCAAGTACATGCGCATTCATATATTTTTATGTAGGTGAAAATACTTTAAATCTCCTGAAATCAAAGCCCCAGATGATGTTGTATCTAATTGTTGAACCTCAAATACAAATGTTATCACCTTGTAATTTTTGCATCATTTATAAAGTCCAACAATGGCCTATATTGATAAGAAAATTAAAAAAGTGTTTCCAGATGCAGCATATAGAAGAAATGTTTTTAATCAACAGCCATCACTGTGTTTTTGAAGATTGACTATGATGAAGTAAAGTTCATGATTTATCAATATGCTTTTTCTAAGGCATCCTAGAAAATTAGTTTCTGTTCTGTTTATACCTTCCTTCTCCTAGAGAAATCTCATATGGAGATTCAAAACCCAGATTGTGACAGGTCTCCCCCACCACATCCAATGTCTTAGAGAAAGGCTTTCTCCGGCTCCTTTTTAACTGCTCACTAAGAATGTAGGGATTTGAAGGTATCTGCATAGAGACTGTATTGTAAGAGAAAACAATTCCCAAGGGTCTTTTCAAAATACAAGGAAAGCCTGTTTAGTTAACTAGGTAGTCTGAGTATGACCCTACAACATGATTCATTGCCAGATAAAAAGCAACAGACTTTTTTTTGTTTTTGCTTTATTTTCTTTCATTTGTGCTGACTTATTAAAATAAAGTTTGCCATGTTTACTGCTCATTGTATAACACAGGCGTTATCTAAGGCTTAAGGGGTTTTAAGAAGGAATGTAGAAAATGTTGTTTGATATGAAAACTTTTGTAAGGGAGCCAATAACATTTTATTTACAAGGCACTCCTCTCCCTGGGGCACTTTTTAATCAGGAGCTTGCATAGTACAGATCATTGCTCCAAGGAACCTTGTACACATTGGATTCTCTCTCAAAATGCTTGACAAATTCTTTTCATTGGTGCTGGAAAAGTCATTGCCAGCAGTGCTTGAAGCAAAATAAGAAGGGATAGGATGCCAATGCTGTTTCGTTTTATTCCTTTTCAAGTAGACTTAAAGCAGGCATTCATACCATTTGTCAGGCTGAGGGGTGCACTCAAAAAAATGTGATTTGTATTCTGAAAGTGCTCAAGCACAAAATGCCTATAGATAGCATTCCCTCAAATCTTGGAACCTCAGTAGGGCTTCTCTACTAAATTCCATCAGAAGAGCAGATTCTATTTGGAAAAGATGGAAAAATGTAGACCCTAGGCCGTGTTGGGCTTTAAAAATGAGTGTCTAGAGGCTTGAATCTCACTGACAATGACTGACAGCATGCAATTCCAGCAATAATGGTGTTACCTGAGGAGATCTAGATAATCCTTCAACAGTCCATAGTGAACTGGCTGAATGGTTTTTGAAGGCAGCTCCACGTAAAAGCAAATTACAATAGTCTGACCATATGATGACAAGAGTTCAAATAACCAAGAGAAAATCATTTTGTTATTATATACTTTTCCGTGAACTTACAGTCTCCCAATGACTCATATCTCAGAAAACATACTTCAGTGTTTTTCCTTTTTGCTTTGTGGTCTCTATCAACATTTAGAGTGAAAATTCCTTAGGACGAAGAAGTAATTTTCAGCTTTGAGCGTAAATTACTTGGGTGATCCTGCTAATCAGGGATCAGGTATAATTAGGATGATGTCATGATATCCTTTTCAATCCAACAGACTTTTAATCTGAAGCCCCATTCTGTTCAGTAATAATTGCTCATAGAAAAATATACATAACATTTCAGCTTTGACAATACATGAAGGCAAACAACTCAAAATGAGAACTAAAATAATTAAGAAATGAAATCTTTTTTTTTAATACAAAAGGATTTTTTCAGAAAATCTAAGTATTTAACAATTTTATTTTAAGTAAAGTTATATTTTTTATTTCCTGTGTATATGAAATTATTCAGATAATATTTTTATTTCTTAGCTTCATATAATCTCTAATTTTTATGTGCATCATAACAGAAAGACCTTCAGTAACTTTGCTACTTGTGAATAATGTAATTACTCTATTTTTAGATTCCTCTGGGAAAGTAGACAGATGTTCAAAGCACATTAAGAAATTTAATATTCTGTCATTCAGTAAATCATTATTTTACTGCATTTGCCTTTACCTCTTCCCATATGCAGCCAAGTCCCTTTCTACTATTTAGCATTTACATTGCAATTCAATACGAATTGAATCTTATCTATTTTTTCATCCTACCCAGAACTATTTAAAACATACTTAGCTAGTACAACATTTTGCCATCCAAGCTTTTGCACTTCAAGACCCTATACTCTTGTCTTCAGTTTTGAGCTGAAGAAGATCCTTGGATGAGAAGCAAAATGTTTTCAGAGAAAAAAAAAAACCAAGAAAGGCCAGTTGCCTCTTGGAAAAAGCATCTTTGTTAGTCCCTATACTCTTGTGTTTAGAGAGGTAAGTAAACAGCTGAAAAAAAAATCAGACCCCTATCAAATTAATAATACAGAAAGCTAATAATGCATAGCAGAATTCATCGTGTAAAAGGTAGAAATAGAAAATAAGGCTTGCCACAAAGTCAGGACAACTAAACTGAATGTCTGAATGTCAAGAGCCAAGATTTCAGCAAAAATAGAAAGTTAGGAACATAGTTCAGATGGATTTCAGTGCTACATTCTGAATAGCATGAAATCTTAGGAAACCAAAGTTCTAGGGTACTGTCTGGGCTTCCATTGTCATTTTCAAGAAACTTATAATTTCCATCAAACTAGTCGCTAATCAAAACAAATCCTGAGATCTTTCTTTAGACACTAATACATTTTTGAGTTTGAACCAGTAAAACTTAGATTCCTTAGGATTTGATGAAATTTCATTGTGACCCATGGTTGAACCAGCACCCTCTATTTTGAAGACAAGAGCCTCTGAAATACCCATTGATTGATATTTATTTCTTATCTGTCTCTCCGTAAATGGCAAGACAATTTGATTTTGCTGGTACAAGATGAGAAAATATTTTGACCATCCAATGTCCTGATGACCATTGGAAACTGGTAGTTACAAACTTTTCTTCACCCTCTGTGTATGTATGTTCAGTTAGCTGACGCTCCTTAATATTTCTGATGGCTTCAGCAAATATTAAGCAAAAAGAACATTATTTGCCATTGCTAATGGCAACAAAACATCCTTGATCCACAGACTACTGATGAAGAGGAGGATTAAAAAATGGAAAGAAGAGCAAGATTATGTGTGGATGGATGGATGGATGGATGACATGTGTTTGGGCGAGTGTAGATAAAAGGGTATCATACGCAAATGCATATGAAAGGGTAAAAGGGTATTTCATATGCAAATACATATGAAAACTTGCATGTCATTATTAGCCATTAGTCTGCAAATCAAAAGTGATGAAAGGAAAGATGAAAAATGATGTATTACGCTTGTTATCAGTAGATGGACGGATGGACATTCAAATGTTATGTCTTGTTTTCAGTGTGAAGACTCAGATGAAGAAGACCTTTGTGCCATCAGTAATAAGTGGACTTTCCAAAGAGCAAGCCAGAGATGGTCTCGAGTAGAAGACTCTGATCCCTTGATTCATCAATCAGGCAAACATGACTTTCAAGGGGACATTAAAATGAAAATCACAACCAGCAACGAAAGTGTGCTTACTGATTTGAGTGAGCCTGAGGTGTCCTCTATTCACAGTGAGAGCAGTGGAGGAAGTGACCATAGGAGTCAGTCTGGAATCACAAGCCTCCTCAGGGAAACTAATCATTCAGGACAATACTGTATCAAAAACAGTTCTGTGCAAGTCCCCTCTGCAATTGGTGGTCCTTCTTCCCAGCTTTCAGAAGTCTCTCCCAACTTCAGGAATGAGAAAACACGAACCAGAGCAAAAACCTTTCTGAAGCGTATGGAGACATTAAAACCCAGAGGACAATCTGGAAAATTAAAAGGGTCTGGACTGACTAATCTCTCAGTCATTGGTACACCTGTTCTGCAGCATGAGCCCAGAATCTTAAAGGAAATGCAATGTGTGCAAGTAGAAAATGGAGACTTCCAAAATAAAACAGTTGTACTCCAAGATCCAGTCAGACAAGGATCTCCATTTTCAGCCAATTGCAGCAGTGAAAACAGCCAACTGGAGATTAACAACAGCACCATAAGCACTCCTTCCTTAAAAGAACGCAAACACCATGAAGCAAATAAACGGGGTGGCATGTACCTAGAAGATCTAGATGTTCTTACAGGATCAACACTGAGACAGGTGATAGATCAAAGCTGCAAAAATGAATTTCACTCCCAAGAAAACCTAATATTTCATATTCCCAAAGACCACAAACCAGGAACATTTCCTAAGGCACTTTCCATTGAAAGTCTCTCGCCTACAGACAATGTCCTGAACTGGAAGAGAGACAGTGTTTCATTAACCAACAAGACATCTAAAGAACACAAACCCCTTGTTTCCTGTTCAAAGGAAAGTAGAGTTAGCATTTATGACAATGTTCCAAGTTCTCATCTATGTGCCAGCACAGGAGATCTTCTGGATCTGGAAAGGGAAAATCTTTTTCCTCATTTGGATGGTATCTTGCAACATGTCAATGGACTTCAGGAATATATTGATGACTGGTCAAAAAATGTATTACCAGAACAAAAAAAGAATGCTTTATCCATTGGTGAATTTGAGTCATTATCATGTCAGTCACCAAGTAAAATTTCTTTAGAGTTTGAACAGAACTCAGTGTCTGATGGCCATACAACCCCAAGTGATATTGACCAAGACGGGGCATCTCTCAATGAATCAGAAGCTCCTGGTGTCAGAGAAAGAAGAGACTCTGGTGTTGGAGCATCCCTTACCAGACCAAGCAGGTTTGTAGCAGATCACACTTCTAAGAATGGGAAACAGGGAAATTAAAATACACTGTTTTTCAGTTATGTATTTGTTCCTATATCGAAATCATAGCAATTAATTGCAATTCATAATGCTATATATAATTTACAGTTTCAATTTTAAATCGGAGTAATCCCACAAAATCTTCTACTAAATTCTCTTGCCAACTTGAATGGTCAAAAATAACAACAATTACAGCATCCTATGAAAATAGAGTCTTGGAATAACAGCCGTTTGAAATTTTCCAGCTACTTGAAACATTGCTTTAAGAGGATTAGATCAAGGATGGAGAATCTTCTTTACTTCAAAGATTGAGAGTAAGGTTTAACTATATGATGAGCTGTGGTGGAGCAAACAGTGGATAATGCCCAAAGCAAAAGTGATTGGGAGGATTTGATGATCTGAGCAAAGACAGAAAAGGCAATGATAATATTATATTGTTTGATATGGAAAAAAGCCTTTGATAAAAGGCATAGATAGTATTAGTAAATTACATAGCCAAATGTGAAATACCAAATAAGTCCAGATTCTAGATGGTCATTTTTAGTTTAGTTTACTTTACTTTATTGTCATTGCACCTCATACAACAAAATTAAATACCATCTTCAGTGTACTATGAAAATAAACACATTCTTCACATTCTATACATTGAACTGAAAACCCCTGATACTGAATTAATGTTGCACTATATCCAGTGGTGGGATTCAAAAATTTTTACCACCAGTTCTGTGGGCGTGGCTTGGTGGGCGTGGCAGGGGAATGATGGGTGGTATTTGCTGGTCCTCTGAACTGCTTAAAATTTCCGCTACCGGTTCTCCAGAACTGATCAGAACGTGCTGAATACCACCTCTGCACTATACAGTAAAATTCAGTAGAGTTATTGCCCTTTTTTTTCCTTCCATTTAATAGTATCCAATTCTCAGAAACTGCCTGGATAGGTACCTGCAGTTTTCAGAAGTGGTTTTTCGTTGCCTCCTTCCTAGGGCTGAGAGAAAGTGATCAGATCAAGGTAACCCAGCTGACTTTTGCCTAAGGCAGGACCAGAACTCATGGTTTTCTAGTTTCTAACCTGATGTTTTAATTGCTACACCAAGCTGGCTCTACTACCTGTAAAGATAGTGGAGAAATATATATAATTTCCACTTTGATATTTGTTTACATCCTTTAGTTTCTGCTACTATACTAGATCAGTGGGTCTCGGAGTGTTCTCCTTTCAGCAAGCCTGCAAAGTCAAATAAATACATTACAATTTCTGTTTTTTAGATTAGATTAGATTAGATTCAACTTTATTGTCATTGCCATGGATACAGGCAACAAAATGCAGTTAGCATCCAACCAGAAGTGCAAAACAACAGTAAAATATAAATATATGTATGCAAATATGCAAGGCATCTATGAATATGTCAATGGAAAACACAACAAAATGTATATACATGAGCACACAAGGATAAGCATGACTTCACATATTTGAACATATACAACTGTACAAAATGTTTGTGGACACATTGAATATAAGTACAAATGCACAGAGAATTATACAAAATACATCATATATTATCAAGGGAAGCATCAGCATAACTGTGGGGACAAACAAACTGAGGAGTTCAGCAAGGAAACTGCTGTGTGGTAAAAGCTGTTCCCTAGCCTGCTGGTCTTAGACTGCAGGCACCTGAACCTCCTCCCAGATGGAAGAAGAGTAAACAGTTTGTGGGCTGGATGCTGTGGGCTTTATGCAAACTCCTTAACAATGCTGTGGGCTTTATGCAGACATCGTTTCCTCTGAATGTCCACAATGGCAGGAAGTGGAATCCCTATAATGTGTTGGGCGGTTTTCACCACCCTCTGTAATGCCTTTTTTTCTTTTATAGTGCAATTTCCATACCAAACTGAGGTACAGCTAGTTAAGATGCTCTCAACTGTGCAGCGGTAGAATGTTTATTTCTAATACAATAAATATTGATAGATATAACCCACATAAACCAAACGTCTTTGGGTTCTCAGTCAGTTTTAAAAATATAAAGGGGTTCTGAGACTAATATGTTTGAGAACCACTATATCAGATCATAATATCCATGGTATTTTACACAATTCATCAGAATAAAATTGGTGTTGTTTGCTGATAGCATTTTATTGTCTATTTCTGAATTTCATATTTTGATTGTAACACTGATGTGCTTGATTATTATGTTTTGGATAAATTGTGGGATATTCTTTAGCTCGTTTAATTTAGAATTGATGCGAAGAGCAAATGCAAGTATCATTTCATATATGCACTGAATGCACTGTATTATTATTCCATCTCACATTTCTCAAATCAATATAATTCTTTAGATATTGATAGCCTTACCTGGGGGTAAATAACATTTAAAAAATAATATAATTTCTATAATACTTTATATTTTGCATAGAATTATCATATACTTATCCAGGAGATATTTTTAAACACTCGGTGCATTGTTCTGTATATTTCTATGGGGGTTTTCAATTCCCAAAATTACCTAGAAAAAGTTGCAGTTAAAAATAGAGGCGTTGATTTCTTGACTCTTGAATCAGACACACATATGCATATTTTTAACAGGTATTGGATTTTGCATAACCATAATTAGGTGGACTGTTTGTGGCTCAAAATATAATGAATTAGCAATATTTTCTGTCTCTGATACATCAGTTCAAAACTATTTCTGGAATAGTATAAATATACTATTACTGAAAATTTGCATTTTGATTCTTTTTCTCACACCAAATTGTGGTAATCTTGTGGTAATCTAGATGCTAAAATTTATTTTTTTAAAACATTATATGGAAGATCTTGATAGATGCTGGCATTTTTATACTAGATCAATTATTGGATGATAATGATGTTATCATTTTTTATGTTAAAGGATAAATACAATTTGACTGTTGCCACCCACTGGTAATATTAATAACTACAACTTTTATTGATAACTCAGTTTGGATCAGTGGATTTTTAAATTGGGAGATACTTAATTTATGAGCCGTAATCACTAAAGCCTGTGAGATAAGAATTCCCATATTTATTTATAAATGCGTGTTATTGATAAATCCAGGTGATATGCAGGCTGAATGGAATAAGGAATTGGAGTTCCCCTTTTTTGTCTAAGCAATATAAAGTTGTCTTTTAACAGTGTGAAAAATTTCACTTCATCTTAGATTATGCTTCATTCATCAGAATAATATTTTTGTACTCATTGGATCTATTGTACCTGCATAAAATCTTGATGCACAAGAACATTAAATTATTGAATGTTCCATATCACTGTATTCATCTATAAATGTCCCAGAAATAGAATGGCATCTAGTAGAGCAAATGAAATTTACTAGAAATGGCAATTTTAAACTGTTATTGTTGCTATAACATGCCTCAAACGAATAGGTTTTTAAACAGAATCTTGTAAAAGGAAAGCCATTTTAGATTTAGAGTCACATTCTTCTGACTCTAGGACAAAGTCTTTTAATCCATCACAGATTTTTAAAAAAACAAATCTATCATGACAATCAGACATTTTATTCCATTTTTTTTGTATGTACATAAAGGCGATTACGTTGGCACAGTTTCCATATCTCTCACCAACTTAGCCATACCCTAGGATCACTCCAGATCAGCAATCAGTCAGCTGCTCAGCTAAATCTGCTACAAAAATTTTCCCTGCTCCGTCTTACAGCAATTATGGAAAAATACTCCATGTCAAACAAGCATGGTTGGACATGGTAAGTATGTTTTATAGTTTAAATGTTATTTAGTTATAAAGCCTGAAAATACTCATCATAATTTTTTTAAAAAAATAATTCATTAGTAATCAGCTTAGTCAAAGGAGGTTTGTAAAGATTGAGTCAAAGTTCAGGAAGAAATGTTGAAGAATGGTTATTTTACAACTGAATTTTTTTGAATTGACTTGAGGGTCATATTGGAAAGCATGTTTTGCACATATATACACGTACATTAATTATCTAGGAGTATTCTAGATTTCAAAAGAAAAAGTAACTTTCAAGCATGCATGGTTGCTCACATCACAGCTGTCAACACTTTAAATTAGCTAGTATTTTCCTGCATCACACAGCTGATAGATCAAGACCAAAAATGTATTAATACTAGCAGATAATATTTTAACTCATTATTGGCTGCTCTGTCATCTCTTTTGTTTCCATTGGATTGTATTTGTTTTATCTTCAATGCCAAACAGAGATGCTGTGAGTTGGTTGATTATTAGATTTTTATCATGTCAGATCGATTTATCTTTAGGATAAACATATATTCAGGTGTTCTTGAATTCATTTCATTTAATGATGGCTTGAAGTTTTAACAGCCTTGAAAAAAAAATGACTTATGACCATTTTTGAAGTTAAAACCATCATATCATCATGGTCATGGGATTGCAGTTCATATTTACAACAATTGCAGCATCTTGTGGTCACTTGATTGTGATTTTTGATTACATGAGTCTTCCCAGCTGGCTTCCAACATGCAAACTCAATTGGGGAAGCTGGATTTGCTAATGACCAAGAGATTCACTTAGATGACCATGTGAATCATTTAATAACTATGAAGAGTCACTTAATGCTTGCAATAACAATTGTAAAATTGGGTCTGGTCACATGGTGACCTGCTTAACAACTGCATCACTTAGTGATCAAAATTCCACTCCCAGTTGTGATTGTCAATCTAGATATTTATATTCGCTTGGTAAACTGAAGGCAGCAAACCTACGTAATACTCCTGCCTCCCAGTTTTCCCATAACAACCCTATGAGCTGGATTGGACCAAAAGAGAATGATCAGCCCAAAGTCACCCAACTAGTATTCATGCCTAAGGCAGGAGTAGAACTCACAACTCTCCTGATTTCTAGACCAGCATCTTAACCACTCCTAAGAAACTAGCTCTTTATTTTACAGCAAATTGCTACAACATTCAGAACTTGAAATGGCCAGCATCTAAAGATTTTTTCCTCCATCAGTCTTCAATAAAATAATCACTTATATAAATAAAAAAGTTTCCATAAATTGATTGTTTCTCCTATAAAAGAGGGAATGTTTTTTATCGCCAAGTATTGCCTATACATGATGCTATCCAGGGAAATTCTGCTGAATTATTTTAGTGTCAATTCTCATTCGGCCTGATAAAAAAAAATCTGTTGCATGTTTCTAATATAACATTTTAATTGTGCATTTCATTCAGCGCACTGCAAGAATAATTAGCAAGTGTAAGGCGGACCTATCAGTCAATCGGTTCCATTCCCATCTTTCCTTCCTCTCCTCATTGTGGTTGCTCTATAGAGAAAGAAAAGGTACATGCAGCATTCTTTTCAGTTACAGTGTCTGTCTTTCTACAGCACTCATAAACTTCCAATCAAACATGAAGATCTTTGACCTGATTCAGTGTCCTAATTCAGTTTGAGTTCCTTAGTATGGATTCTGCTTCTGCTCCAGGAAGCTAGAGAATTGGTCCAAAGCAACCAAACCCAGCTCATTCCCTAAATGAAATCTCATGTCTCACACCAATCTCTTATGTCTTCAAGAGGCAAAGGCATTTGATCCCAGAAAATTAATTGGGCATACACCACGCTACACAATTTGGCAATGGGGATTATACAGCGCAGGCTCCCTTGGTAACACATCTTCAGATTTGATGTACAAAATTCAGTATTTGCTCTACTGTAGCATATTTCAGCTAAATAACTTCACCGCATTAACTGGCATTTAAGTAGGCCATGTGAAATGCTAAGGATTATTGCCCTCATTTTATAGCCAAATGCAGGCAAAAGCAATAAAAGATATTTATCTCACAGCATGAAAAGTAATTCTAGAAGTCTAGCTGGATTCCTTTGTGTAAAACTCTATCAACAGAAAAAAAAACCATCAATAAACATATGCAACATTTAATCAACACTACCTGAGCTATTATGGGATTTTAATTAGTTGACTTGTGTCTCCATAGCTCCATTGCAAAAGAATATCACAAGATTATGCTAGTCGATAGCTGTACGATGTAGAGCTATTCAGAGTAAAGTCTATAAAGAGAAGCATTCATCCATTTAAATCTAGAGGAAGAAAATGGAAAACACTGAATTTTTGCTATGTTCAATGTCGCATATATGACTAGAACTGATGGTGTGCCATTTTGTAGCATTTTTGGCAGAAATGAGTGGTTTACATCTGTTAAACTAGAGACAGACAATTGACTGGGATGGTAGGGACATCTACAATGGTAAGGACAAATCCTGGCAACCATGATTGGTGTGGCTGCATCTATTTCTGTAAAGATATATTAAAATATGCTACTACTTCTAACCTTCCAGGATCTCTAATCTACATCATCCTAACATGGTGTACCTTAGTCTTAATACATTATTAGTACATTATTTCTGGGTAAGTCAGCATTCATCATAACAAAATACCTGGCTTTATCTCCTGCCACTTTTATTTATAATGGAAATATAGGACTATATGGGGAGAAACAGTATTACTGATTTATTACAGATACTCCTCAACATACGATCATAAATTTCCATTGCTAAGCAAGACATTTCTTGTTAATTTTGTCCCATTTTATGACCTTTCTTGTCACAGTTGTTAAGTGAACCACTACAGTTGCTAACGTAGTGACATGGTTGAGCAAATCTGGCTTCTCCATTCACTTTGCTTGTCAGATGCTTGGAAAAGGTGTTCATATGACCCCAGGGCACTGCAATAATTATAAATACATGCCAGTTGCCAAGTGCCCGAATTTTGATCACATGACCATGAGGATGCTGCAAGAGTTGTAAGTGTGAAAAACAATTACGAGTGTCACTTTTTTCACTGCTGTTGTAACTTTGAACAGTCGCTAAACCAGTTTCCAGTTTTAAAATTAAATGTTTAAAAAAAAAGATTTTAAAAGTAAAATTAAAATCACATTTAAGTGGACACATTCTCTGGTTAATAGTGGGAGTTGCATTAGAGCAAATTATTAATTTTTTGTATTATTTGCTTAGACATATTTACTAGTTGGATCTACATGGTAATTTTGTCCAGTAATATCCCAAAACAAGATCTTTGTCATCATCTGCTTCTTTTTAAACTGGAGATGCTAGTACCAAATTTGAGGTGTTCTCGATGCAAAGCATGGTATCTCTTCTCAAATATAGTTGTTTCATAAAATGAAGGCGAATTTCTCTGGATAGCAGCAGTTTAAAATTCATGTACAGGCAACGATTGGAGACAAAAGAGAAATTGCTCTTTAAAATTCTTTTTCTGGCATGTCAGGAATAGATATTGGTAGCTCATCATCTCCATTTGAGCCCTCCCACACGTCTCTTATTGTCTGTAGTTATTCTTAGCCTGTTAACCATCTGCACAACTCCTGTGGCCACCACATTGGGGTTTGATAGCTCACAACTGTCCTTTTTCTCATAAAGTTTAGATTATATTGCTCATGTGCATAGGTGTTTGTCCACTTTTGTTATTACAATAATAACCAGAGCATAAAATAACTCTGAAACTTGATTCAAAACCCATCCTTTTAAGCTTCATCTAGGATTTACTATATTTTTTTATAAATGATAGCTAAATCATGATAAATTATACAATTTGAGGTTATGGACATAATGAGACACTTCGTGATAATTAATTGTACATCCTTTCAAGTTTAATCTTCTGCCATTACTTACTGAATGTTAAGTTGTTGCACATGTGCTGAAGAAGTGAATTGAACTAAATGGTGAATGTTTCATTGCTACAAACTATTATTGGTGAAAAAAATGAAATGTATAAAATGTAAAACCTGCAAATATGTTAGGGATAAAATAGTACTTTCCTGAATTGCATAAAATAAGACGGAATAATAAATGTCTAAAGATTCATAAATAGTGGTTTATAACAAATACAAACATCATGTACATCAGTGTTCCCAAAACTGCTTGTGCTTCAAATCAACATCCAATAATATTAAACCAGCATAAAAGGCATAGAGAAGAATTAAATTTATGAGCAAGAACTATTTGATATTTCATACATGTAAAGCACTTATAATAATGTGCTTAATAAAAGTTAAATTAGATGATAAATAGGTCAATGCATTTCATATACTTATTTGGGGTAGGGGGAGAAAGTCCATTACAAAGGTGATCAAAAGAGAGAATTTAACTATTTCTTCCAAGTCCATGTGCCTTCCATGAATGTAGTTGTTATTTCAAACTGAAGGGAATTTTAAGAAGTTTTTCGATTGGCACTCTAGCAGGACAGCAGCCAGAGGGCTCTTTATTCTTATCTCTCTGCCGTAACTACAATTCTGTTAAAAAGTATTTACTCAGGAGTGGGATTCTACCAGTTTGGAATGGTTCTATAGGACCGGTTGTTATGATTCTGTACAGTTCAGAGAACTGGCAAATCGTGCCCCAGGCTGGCCCTGCCTCTCTCTGCCCGCCCCGCCCATCAGTCCTTTTTGAGCATGTGCATCATTGCGTACATGCTTGACATCGCTGACTGCATTCTTCCCTGCCCAGTCACTCCTTAAGGGATTTCTTTTATTTCCCCCTGCGCACGATCAGCTGTTCCTATGCTCAGCTGTGCCGGGATTCACCTCACTTACTGCTTAGCCCAGGAGGCTTCCCTGAGGCCCAGGAGGGCAAAAGTGGAGGGCAGCACAGCCCCCCCCCCCATTTTTGCCTTCCTGGACCACCAGGGAAGCTTCCTGAGAGCAAAAACACCCCCCAGGAGACTTCCCTGAGGCCCAGAAGGCCCCAAAACAGAGCGCAGGGGGAGTGCTATGTGTCCCCCCTGCTCCTTTTCTTCCTCCCTGAATCCCAGGGAAGCCTTTTTCCCTCTTCCCCACAATCAGCTGTTCCTATGATCACCTGTGCCAGGATTCCCCTTGCTTCGACCAGGAAGCTTTCCTGAGGCCCAGGAGGGCAAAAAATGGTTGGGGGGGGCATAGCATTCCCCCCACAACACCCTCCATTTTTCCTTCCTGGGCCCCAGGGAAGTTTCCTGAGAGCAAAAATGCCCCCCAGGAGGCTCCCCTGAGGCCCAGAAGGCCCCAAAATGGAGTTCAGGGGCGTGCTGCACACCCCCCATGCTCTTTTTTTTTTTCCTTCCTGGGCCCCAGGGAAGCCTTCTGGAAGCAAAAATGTCCTTTCAGGAGGCTTCCCTGAGGCCCAGAATGCCCCCAAAATGGGGGGGGGGGAGGTGTGCTGCAAAAAAAGAAAGAAGAAGCCACGCCTACCCAGTCACATGGCCATGCCCATCTAGCCATGCCCACATAACCAGTTGTTACAAAATTTGAATCCCACCCCTGTATTTACTCCCTTATCTATAGGAGTAGTCAGTCACCCAGGTCATGGTTTTTGCCAAAGATGCTTTTTCATAAGGCAACCGGACCTTGTTTTTCCTTGAAGACATTTCACTTTGAATCCAAGAAGCTTCTTCAGTTTTGAACCAAACAATCTTCTTGGATGAGAAGCAAATAATCTTCAAGGAAAAACAAGGTCCAGTTGCCTTTTGAAAAAGCACTTTAGGAATATTTACTCCCCTTTGTATTGACTGAATTTTAGCATATTTCTCCCACCGAATGTTATTAGAGCTTCATGTAAGTACTCCTGGTCTAAAGAAGGAATGCAAGTGAACAGACAAACCCAAAGTGTAATGCTTGTTTCATTTATTTTATAAGCATCCAGTAGGCAGCATGCCAGCGTGAAAGACTAATCACTTTCAGTCAGATCAATTAAAGGAATAACTAAGGCCAGGTGTGTCTGAGTAATACATTAATAAATCACAACTTATTTTGTGCAAGCTTTGCAATTTATAAATATCATGAACTTTGGACGTCCTCATTACACCAAAGTTCTAACCATATGGACTCCAAAGGCAAGTCATGCCCTATTCAGTATGTGTGTGCGTGAAAAAAAAGTCATTGAAACCTATTAGTCAAGAAAAGATTATAATGTTTTTCTTGGAATGGCAATGGAGAATCCTTCAAGAATGGCTCCCTGTTAAAACTCATTCTAAAACTCCAGGAAAAATTTTTTCTAGGGATTTCAAGTGGGTCATGCAAGAAAATGACCCCAAATTTACAAGCAAGTCTACAAGAGAATTGATAAAGAATAATTTCAACATGTTGGGGTTTCCCATCTTTAATTCTGCATTGGGATGCATTTCAGAAATGCAGGGGGCTTTTTCTTGTACTCATAACTTGTCCTCTAAGAGCAGGTGATAGTCATGAGTAGGGAGTCTTTGCACAGGTACATTTTGTATGCCAGTTGTACTCATTCCATACCACAGATTGAAAAAGTTCCAGATAGTCCACTTCATCTGGGGTCCCTTGAAGCAGTGAGTCAACCACTCTCTCATCAACTCCCCCCAAAATAGATGGTTGAGACTGGACAAAAGTTGTCTAACACAACTGGGTCCAAGAATGTCTCTTAAGAAGAGAGCACACAACTGCCTCCTTAGAGACAGGCAATACTAAACCTTCCCTCAAAGAGGCATTAATCATCATTTGGACCCAGATACATGCCACTTCCCAGGAAACCAAGCAGGAAGGACATGAATCCAGAATACAAGTGGCTGAGGTTCCCCAAGATCAACCAGCTCAAATTTGTCTGAGATATTGGGATTCAGACAATAATCATATAAATAATCTGCATAAATAATCATTGTTTTTAAGGTCTGTACCGAAGTTCATGAAATGGATGAAGGTTCCAGATTACAAGGATAAGAATATATTTGGTGTTCCTTTAATAGTCCATGTGCAAAGAACAGGGCAACCCCTTCCACAGAGCATACAACAAGCCTTGCGATATTTGCGTAATAATTGCTTGGATCAGGTAGGTTCTCCATTTTGATAGATGCATATGTAAGTACACAAAAGTCACCTGACAGCTTTATCTGAAACTAATCTTCTAGATCAGGGCTGTCAAACCTGCAGCCTGCGGGCCGGATGCATCATGCACTGGCCATGCCCGTGCCCGGTTTAGCGAAGTGGGAAAAAGTCCTGATACCTTCCATGACAATGCGAGTTTGACACCCCTGTTCTAGATGTTGTAGGCTTTTAAAATAACTTGGACTTTTATTATTTTGATTTTATTTCTGTTGGGGATATTTAGCATACCTGTAGTATAAAATATATGTGATGGAAAGCATCCTATTTTGCCAACCCCCAGTGCTGTAGATAAATATTATAATGAAAAGAAACTGTATAAAATCAAGAATGTGATCACTATCAGAATGACCAATTTCAAGATGATTAAATGTACTATTTACTGATTCTGTTGCTACCATACTCAAAATGGAGCTTTTCTATATCTAAACAAAAAAAGGATTTTATAGACTAAAAAGAGCACTTCATTAGGACATGCAAGCACACTCAAGATCAGTCGTGGGGGGAATCACTATCTCCCCCACCCCCAGCAAAATAACAGTTTCCAACCTCCACTTCCATTAGTTTCTCTTCCCTCCTGTTTTCATCATATAGGAAGGGATTCCTACCTAACATATCCAACCATTTCTGTCTGATTATTTTGTTTCGGTCTATTATACAGAAAATATGCTTAGAACAGACATCAGTTTTAAACCTTTGGAGACCTAGAACACCTGGAGCATTAATTTTAAGAACTCAAAAATACTAAACATTTTGACAGGATTTAATTATATTCAGATGGCTGAAGAGTAGCCAGTAAATTTTCTCTCCCTCTCTCTCTCATTCCACCTATCTAATCCTTCTCTTCTTTTCTTTTTACATCTACTAATTGTGGTTATCTATCTTTCACTATGGGCTTCTTTTCCAAAGAAAAATGTAACAGTTGTCTTGAAAATGTAGAGTGGACCCATGCTTTTTCTTCATTTATAATTAATGGAGCTCAAGATCAGAAACAAATGCTACTATATATTTTTTCTAATTAATTCTTTTATGCAGTTCTTTGATACAGTTACAAGTTCTCTGCCCTAAGATGTAATGGCAAATTAGTACTCTATATCCATTTCCACATATGCAGCATGTAGAAACAGACTGCTCTCAGTCAACCCATATTTTCTTTATTACATCTGTGCATTGAAATTCCCTGTATGTCTAGGAAAGAGCAGAGAAATCACACATTCTCTATGTGTTTTTTTAATCCTGAAAAGGAATGAAGTCCATCTCAATTGCTCATAATTGGAAACTTGTATAACCTTAAATAGAAAAAGAGCTAACATAAATAAGGTGTCACCAAATATTGTAGATGTGACCTGTTCAAAACACTTAATGTTATAATTGCAGCTAGAGAATTGTGTGATTAAATAAAACCATCTAAGAGTAAAAACTGCTTGGTATTGGTGGCATTTCTGGATTGCAATTTTCAAAAGGAATGGTACTAATTAAAAATATAAGACACCAAGAAATATGGTTACATTTTCCTAAAATTTGACTCATTGCTCTGATTATTGAAGGCTGTATATAGTATGAGAGATTTACTTTAAAAAGCATCAACTGCCATATTATATTCTGAGCCTTTTTTTAAAAAGATCTTTAAAATATTGACTAAAAATCCCGATCTTATGCATGGTAGGCTTCCTTCTCTCACTGTCAGTGTTTCACACCAAATTTAATCCTAAATATAATGTCTGCCAAGCTGGGTTTTGTGACCAAAGGCTGTGACAGTTTTACTAGTAGAGGGCTTTTTAACCCCTTAAATTGGATGTGATTCTGCAGTAATTTAATAATTGACCTCTCAATTTATTTTTTGTCATGAAACCCTGCATTGCTAGATCCTCTTTTGAATATAATATCCAGAAGCTATTTTATTCAAGTCTCCTTATATTCTTGAGCACCACAATTTTATGCATTTTAGACTGATAATCAAAATTATTTCCCCAATCTCCATCTTTCATATCTCTCTGCTAAATTTATTAGAAATCGTGTGCTTGTTCACCTGTTAGAAACACATATTTCCACACTGCTGTATTGCCTATGCACATGCATATATTTAAAATAAAATCACTTTTACACAAGTTCTGAGCTTTTTATCCAGCACCTTAGCCTATTAACAGAGCATGGAGCTAATAATGTTCCTCCTCTAAGATAAGAAAAGAGCCAATTTATATTTCAGTACTGGCTGTAGTCCAGAAGAGCACAGCTTCCTGTCAGTGCCAAACTGCAGCATCACCACTCTCATGCCACATTATTAGAAGTTATTATAATAGTCCCAAGTGTGATAAATCAGCTAAAAGCCCTGTTGTGCAAGAGAAAATACATATGTAGAGATTCTGAAACCAGAGTATTATTTCTATTTTTTTGTCAACTGTTACCTTTTTGGTAGTTAAGGCATCTAATTTGCTAAAGGTGGCTTCAGTGATACAGCCAGTAAAGAAAAGAAAAAGAAAAATACAATTGTGATTGATCTTGTGCCATCTACTGGTTCTTCACCCTGGTGCAATATACTGCATTAATTCTTCTCCATAATCTTTGTAACACCCTCATAAAAATTCTGTGCCTGCCCAATAACTTAGTTTGAACTGTTGTGTCACTGATTCCATCTTTAAAAGGGAGGCTTGAGGTATTGTAAGGATCATCCTGAGTTTTAGCTGAGGTCTTAGTCCTATATGTGTTAAGCCTACATAGATCTTTCAACAACTCTTTCATTGTTTTTTCTTTCTCAAGTGCCACATTATGGACACTACCAATTTTCAGAGTCTTTGGTACACTCAATCTCCTCATTGCTGCCACTACCACTATGATTGGTGCTGTTCTCTATTACAGTTTACTCATCTAAAATATGGCCTTTCCATCCATAACAGCTGCAAAATATTCAGTGCACTTCTTCTGTGAAGTTTTCCCTTTTCATATTTAATAAACCATAATGTTTCCATATCATGAAGGAATACAGTAGTTCGTAATTGTCATCAGCCTTTAGAGACTACATCATAGCCAGTCATATTACCACATGTTCTTGTGGCATCTGCTTTCGCATCTTCTTTTTAAAATTTTTATTATTGTTTTGCTGAGTCAGTTATGTTTTGCTATGACATTTTAACTGTATTTTAATTACATATTGGATATTTTGGAAGCCATCTAGAGTCTTTTGGAATCAGATAGCTTTAACAAATCTAAACAGTAATAATAATAAAGCAGATAACAACAAGACCTGGCAATGGTTAAAAGCAGGAACATTGAAGAAAGAGACAGAGGGCTAATTCTGGCTGCACAAGACCAACCACAAATGCACACAAAGCCAAAATTGAGAAGGTAGCAACAGTAGCAAATGCTGCCCCTACAAAGAAACTGAAAAAACAATGGACCACCTAGCTACTATAATCCTGCAAGAAGGTTGCACAGACTGACTACAAACAATGATATGACAAAGTACAACAATGGTAAATTGAAATTGCAAAAAATACTTTTTGCCTACAAGCAAAAATTGGTGGGACCATAAAATAGAAAAATAATATAAAAAAAGAAGAAGCTAAAGTGCTCTGGGACTTTAGGATTTAAGCAAACAAGCACCTGCCACCTAACACCCCAGACTTAACAATTGTCAATAAGAAAGTTTTTTAAAAATTCTGGATGGTGGACATGGAAGAAAAGTGGAGCAAATGGAAGAGAAGTGCCAAGTGGAAGAGAAAGAACTGGAGAAAATCACAAATAGGAAGATCTGCAAATAGCAGTTAAAGAACTGTAACAAAAGAAGGCAAAGATAATACCAATAGTAATAGACACCTTGGCTGTAATCCCAAAACATCTGGAGCATCACTTGAGCATTGGCATTGACAAAATCACCTTCGGTCAATTGCAAAAGGCAGCTTTACTTGGAACAGCTTACATCCTGCAACAATACCTTTAACAGCATCAAACAAAAATTGCCTGCCACAGGTCCTTGGGAAGGATTCTTTAGCTAGATAAAAATTCCAAATCCACTCTAAATATCTGACTGTGCAATCAATATAATAATAGTATTTCTTTGGAAAGGTATGATTACCTGATTCTTTCGATGACACTTCTCCAGAGTGTAGCTGCAATAATTAAAAAAACAGAATTGTCAATATTCATTAAACTTTGCAATAATGAATATTACTATGCATTTTTGCTACTTAGTTGAAGCAATTGCAATAACATTTATAGATATTGGTAATATTTGTAATTTGAAGTAAAATTTTAATGTATTTATCCAAGCAAGGCCTATTTTGACAAACACAATTGTAGATTATCAGCCTGAAATCTTGAATTTGCTTACTCCCCACAGCCATCTATATTCCTGCCTGAAACCACAAACTAATCAGTGAACTGATTATATTCTAACAATATAGTAGAATAGTTGTAATTTCATTCCAACAACCAATTTTCTTCTTTTTCCCCTCATTATTCAGTCAAAATTCTGCATCCACAGAAAATGCTCAGTCATCATTAGAGGCTGTAGGAATGTTTTTGTTTTTTTCTCCCCTAAAGGCAGTTTGTATTTCTGCAAACTCACATACTGCAGATGTGTGGTATACTTAATGAGATAGCACACAGAGGAGGCAAAGAAAGACTAAGTACTGTAATTTGGAAAAGGAAATGTGCCCACTTTCTCATAGTTTTTTCTCACTGTGCCATCTTTTCCACTATGAAATGAAGAGAAACAACCTTAATATCTTCCATGTGTTATAACTCTGCTTCATTTTAGAATAAAATGGTTATTTGTGCAAAGGAATTAGCTTTGGGGAAAATTCCTTTTAAGAGAAGTGTTCTAAAAGGACAAAGTGGTTAAAGCTGTGAGCCCACACATTTGAAGAAACATTTATTGTAGAAGAAAACACATATTAAATAATCCTAATTTCTATTCTGCTCCCAGAAAAAAGCCAGGAAGCCATCATTAGAGAGGAGAGGATAAAATAATGCACGATCAAACAACACCTTGAATTATCTTTCAAGTAATTGGGGCAAAGAGTATAATTTAAACTAATAGGCGGCCTTTTAATGGCTAGGAACCACATGTAGCATAAAGTGGGGTAACAGACTACAGTGAGCAAGTGAGCAAGGCTGTATTATGTCCACCTGTAGGATTGGGACTGTATAGGTTTTGGTGCTGATAAGCCAGATTTAGGGCTTAATTATAACATTTTCTTCCATTTTTTTCTGTTTTCAAGTATAAAAGAATGAAAGCAGATCTCTGGTTTCCAACAATAGTCAGGAGATATATATATATATATATATATATAAAATGGCAAACTCAGACTTCATGCTCATGTTCTCTGTAGTGTAAAATACCAGCTCTCTCTTGTGAATAAGTTTTCACAAGACAAGAGCCCTGTAACCTAAAAGAGACAGTGGTATAATTGTTATACCTCCACAACCACAAAGCTCACTGGGTAACTTTGGGTCTGGAATTTTCTGCCTAACCACACAGGGTTATAATATTATAATAATGTCCATTGGTTATATTATGGAAGAACTCTTATAATAGCAAAGACATGACTATGACCTAATTGTACAACATTCATTAACTGCTCGTGTTAAATTCTAGGCCAATTTAAAGTGGGAGAACAAGTTTCAATGATATTCAACACATAACAATTTTCAGCGGGATCATAAGGAAATTGTGCATGTCATTGATACAGAATCAGAAAAACTGTGAAATGATGTCAGAGAAATTGTTGAGGATGAATGTGATAACAGACTATCAAAGATGAAGAAGGTGGATAAGGTGAAATTGGATAGTGGAAAGTACCAACAGGAGATGAGAAATCAAAACCAGGAAAAATAAAGATCTCTGAAAGGAACCTAAAAAAGAACCAGGACAGAAGCGACATGAAGCAGTATTACAACATCTATAAGGACACTGAGTATAAACTCATACAAGAAAACAAGTTTTCTGAAAAAAATCTTTGAACTGAAAAGGTCCCAACCACAAATTGTTATATTAGAAGATGCCAAAGGACAGTTAGTAACTTATTTGAAGAACATCAAACAGAAATTGAAGGAGAATATTGAAATAGAGATGTCAACATCCAAGATACCCAAGAAGATATTTCCTACTTACAAGAACAAGATAGACTTCCTGTGAGCACCAAGCCCAGCTGATGTCTTGCTGGCTTCTGCTGGCTAGCAAGACATCCTTTGTGAGAGAAAATTGTAGCTAGATGCTGGACCAGTCTTAATTGAGCAATTATCTTCTGAGTTGAAATAACGTCTTGGCCATACCAAGCCCATTGCTAGTTGTATCACGGAAAAACCCATATTTCACTATCAAAACATAAGATGTTTTTTAAAAAGCTTGAATTAAATATGTATTTTGACTTAGCATGATGATGACAACGATGACGTTATATAATCTGTTATGACATATATTGTAGGTGGGCCTTTTTCGTAAGTCAGGCGTGAAATCAAGAATACAAGCACTGCGTCAGATGAATGAAAGCTCTCCTGAAAATGTCAGCTATGAAGACCAGTCTGCATATGATGTAGCAGATATGGTGAAGCAGTTTTTCCGAGATCTGCCTGAACCTCTTCTCACAAGCAAGCTGGGAGAAACTTTTCTCCACATCTATCAATGTATGTACTGAATTTGTTTCATTTGGCTAGGGAATAGTTATGGCATATTAAAGCCTTTCAATCTTTTGAAGATCTGCATCTTCTTTTGCAGTTCCCAGAATTCCCCCAAGTTTCTAGTAAAATTTAACAGCAAATTTCTGAATAATGATGATACCATCAGTTCTCAGAGCCTCAATGGTATCAGCACTTAAATATATAAAAATATTAATAAGTACATGAATATTGTACTAAAGAATATACCTTGTGGCCATGCTAGAAATTAGAGGATTTTATCATCCAACGTACCTAGAGAACACTGTTTGGAAATTCTGTTGCTATTCAGTAGAGCTGTAGATGTCAAAACATTGAAAATACATGTTTGCAGTTCTCTGGATAATGTGGTTTAATTGCACTATTGCATGTAAAGTATTTACATACAAGGCAATAAACAGTTTCTATATATAAAAGCCTTAACATAGGATTTCATTCAATATGATTCTGAAATAACACATAATGGATACTTTCCCCAGGGCGTGTGTGTGTGTGTGTGTATTTATATGTTCTTTAGGCAGCTGCTAGAATTATCATTTTACAATTTAACGAAGATATTTCAGATGAGATCATAGTGTGTGGGGAACAACAAGCTTATGGTATAAACAGGTTCCCTGGCAAGGAAACAGAAAAGAAACAGGAAGGAATCTCCTGGTTCAAGGGATCTTATGCTAACAGGATGGGAATTCCTTTTGATCTCTTTCTATACCACTCCATGCATGCCCCAGTTCTGCTTCAAGGACTGTGTCTCCTTACATGAGAATCTGTTCCACAAGCAGTATTGATTCCGCTGGCAGATAGTAATGTAGAGAAAGCTCAGACTATCTGAATATGTTATAGAAGTCCCTTTACATGATGCTATCTCATTATATCCTATGTACAATATGCTATCTTTCATTATATGTGAAACTGAAGGTTGTCTCTATGATTAAATCCCTTTCAGTTTTGAACCAGGATAATCCTCTTATCCTGAACCAACCAGATAAAAGCCATACCTTTGCTCTAGATCTTAGCACATAATGCAGCCAACTAACTTGGCTAAGGGAACTTCTAATTTATACAAAAATAAGCAGATCTATGTTTTCTAAGCTACATTGACCTGTTCAAATATTGCACTATTCCATAATGTGGAATAATTTTGTTAATTTTGTCTTAGTTTTTTATTTTTCTTGTAAATCAGGAACAATGGTTTAGCATTATAGATTAACCAGGCTATTGGGTCTTGCTTAAATAATGACGTAAAATAATGCATGAAGCAAGAAACCAAATAATAAATAACATGCAGAGTTTTTTTCTGTGTGAACAAGAAAAGTTTCCCTGTCTGTATCTGAGAATATAGTTTTCTTTCAGAAGTAATCTTGAACTAAGAGATTAAATTCCACATAATCCTGTTTGTACTTAGAATCAAATTTCATTAAATGGCACCATTTTTCCCCCTACAGATGTTCCAAAAGAACAACAGCTTCGGGCAGTTCAGGCTGCCACAATGCTGATGTCAGATGAAAATCGGGAGGTTTTGCAGACCTTGCTCTGCTTCTTGAATGATGTCACTTCTGTGGAAGAGAATCAAATGACTTCTATGAATATAGCAGTGTGTCTGGCCCCTTCTCTTTTTCATCTCAACATCATCAAGAAAGAAAGCTCGCCACGGTGGGGATTGTTTACTAGTTATCTCTAACTCTTCCATTCTGAGCTTAAAAGTAATCCCATTATTGTCTAATACTCAATCATTTTTGAAGTGGTGTTTACATTTGCTAGAGTATCCCCTTGGCAAATTGACTTATTACTGTTTGAGAATATAAGCATATATATTGTGAATTAGGGGTAAAGAAGTATGGTTTCAATAGAAGTCCTTACCCTGGGTTGCTATGGAGCAAATCCCTAGTGACAGTTTTAACAAATATAGGACACTTTTGATAGGCTTATTAAGATACTGTTGGATTACTTATTGCATTTCAGAAGTCTGCGTGTATGTGTTAGATTACCTGTTCAAGACTAAATGTACTCATCTTCTGGAGAAAACCCAGTCTTTTTCAAAACAAGCTGTACTTTTCCATCATAGTTGCTTAATTAATATAGTAGTAGCAATCATTCATAGATAAAACAAAATCGTTCTCTGATTTTCCCCCTTAAATGGTCCCAAACATTTTTTTTTCCAGCAGAATGAACATGGAGGTCAGATTCACACTTCACACTAAGCCTTAATGCCCTTTGTTTTCCCCATGGGTGCCATAATGCTGACCTTCCTTGTGTAATACACAAAGGAGAATATTTTAAGTGCTTTTTTATTACTTTGTACTTTGAGAATATCTTTTTTCCAACAATAAACAGGGTGTTTCTTCTCCTGTATAATGTGATAAAAGAAGGTTATTGTCTTGAACTTTGTGTGGATAGATACCAAAAAAAAATGCATTTCAGCGTTTACTGTCAATTCAAAAACAGCCTTGGCTTTTATCTTATTTAAAACATTGAATTTACTTGCAGAGTAATGCAAAAGAAGTACACAACGGGGAAGCCAGATCAGAAAGATCTCAGTGAAAATCTGGCAGCTACTCAGGGACTGGCACACATGATCACCGAGTGCAATAGACTTTTTGAGGTAAGCGAAAGACTTAGGTAGCATTATTCCTCTAAAAAAATGCCATGAAGCACTAAGCTTATATACTAGAATAATATTTTAGTGTATTTCTTTGGATATTTTTATGGCACATCTGCATAAATTGATTTCAGTACCAGTTGAGATTCAGTTTATGATCAATTACTATTCCAAGATCATTTCTGATAAGCAATCTTGTATCAAGCCAGCTATTTCCACTGTATGTTTGCATACTCAATTTCTATAGGTAAGGAAAGTGTATTACACATGACTTGATTTAGAAAAACATATAGTAAAGTGAATCGGCTTGAATTAAGGAAGGTTTTGTGAAAGTGTGGAGTTGAAGTTTGGTTGTTGAATGCAGTAATTATGGGTAAATGGTTAAAGAAAAGCAAGCATGAAAATATATGATTTTTTTTTGTAAATTGTTCAACATTGAGCAGAGAATTAGACATGGATGCCCAGTCTGTGGACAAATATTATGGGAGACTTACTTAAAACTGGTGTGGTATAACAAAAGATTGGGTCAAGAAGTAATGGGTACTAAATGAATGTAGACAAAAGCAAGTAGAGTAGTTCTTGACCTACAACCATTCAGTCAGGAACTGTTCCAAGTACGACAGTACTGAACAAATGGTGGTTACATCCAGTTCTCAGAGTTCTGGCACACATCCATATGAGTTCAATCTGGATGCTTGGCAACCAGTTCATACTTATGACCAGTTACCAAAAGCCCCCAGATCACTTGATCGCTATTTGCAACCTTCCCTACTGGCATCCCCAAAAAGGTCACAAGTTATTGAAGGTCACAAGTTACTGAAGTAAATCTCTCCCAATTGTGCACCTTCTCCATATTGTCCACTTCTACACCTTCCACACACCTCCCTCGCATCCCCATGCACCCTCGTGAGCAAACTGCACTTTCCTTGAGCTAGACTATGCATCTCTGCAACCTTGTGCCCTCTCATAACACACCCCCCTTGTATCGTTGTGCAACCTCGTGCACTCTTCCTGCATCACGCTATGACTCTTGGACACCCTCCTCCATGACCCATGGAGGGTCATGGAGGAATGGTATGGAAGAATGTATTGCGGTAGTTTGAACATAAAGAGAATGAATAAAATCACAAGACCTATGAAGACATACGAAAAAAGTGAGTCAAGATGAAGTAGAAAACTGAATAATATAGTTGGATGGAGTTTATGTAATCTTGATAGGAAGCATGGAAACTTTAAAAATGTAAATTAAATATATACAAGTAGTTCCTGAAAACTTGCTGAGGAAGCTTAAGGGTCCCAGTTTTGATGCCATTTACATGGGCCCTCTGTTTAAGCATTTGTAGTAATGTGAATTTAGTAAATTTCCATGGCCTGCGTCTGAAGGATTGTTACATATTGGGGTTACCTTGTGGGTGTATTTGATTTTTTTTTTCATGTTAATACTTGTAAGACACTGAGAGACTCTGGCAATGGTGCAACATAGAAGTCAGAGTAAGTAAATCAATAATAACATTATTTTTTCCTCTTTTTTTTTCCTTGGAGCAGATTCCACATGAGATATTTTGCCAGTCTCGGAACTCTTACATTGAGGCTGAAGTACATTCTCCAACTTTGGAGGATCTGGGCAAGCAAATGGATGAAGAAAATGGGAATTACCAGACCTACATAGAAAGCCTAATACAGAATCTTTGTAAAGATGCTAAGGACAAATTCAAAGGATGGGTCACCTGTTCCAGCCTGGAAAATACAGACCTCTGCTACAAAAAAGTAATTATAAAATAATCTGTTTACTTCTTCACAGTAATTTTGATAAACAATAGTTTCCATCTTTACTGAAAAACACTATCCAACATGCCAACACACTGTACATTAAAATGGGCCTTTTAAAGTATGCCATTTTAAAAACCATATTTTGCCGTTCCTCCCCCCAAAATAAGATTTTAGGTGCTTCCAGTTATAGACTTTTGTATTATTAATCCTAACTTTTCATACAGCTTTTTAATGCTTTTTTAATGGAAGACATGTCTCTTGTTAGTGGAATATGATGTTTTTCAGCTCTTACAAACAAGGCTGGAAAACGGCATGTTATTAAACCTTCTTTGGAAATGCCCCTTGATGTTGCCATTGTGGACTGGAAAGCATAGAGTTCAGGCACAATGAGAAAATTTATCCTGACTTAGCTGATATATTTGGAATGTATCTACATTCACTACAGATAGTCGCAACTTACAAGCATAATTGGGACTAGTTCAGTCATGAGTCATTGCAGTTGTAAGTCTGCATTGATTCTTCCAAAGGTTTTGTTTTGTTGGCAAGTGGCAAAAAACAAACAAATCATAGTCATGTGACTGCAGGACACTGCAATTTGTAAATGTGAGTTACCAGCAGTCAAAATTCAGCCAAAGTGACCTGCTAATATGATGTTTTGTGACAGCCAGAAGTGCTTTACAGGCTGTAAAGTACCTTTTCTAAGAGCATCATAACTTTGATGGGTCATTAAATGACTAGGCTTATTCTGATTATCTTGTGTTTCCAGTTGCAGATCTATTTCATATCTTGGCCTGACATAAGCTGTCATGGAATTGAATTGCTTCCTGGAATTAAATGGAATTAAATTTGCACATTTCAATTAGCTCCTTAATTCAGGGATTCTGAATTTAATTGGTACTAGAAAATGTCTGCTCCTAATCCAATATAGCTTTAGATGGAGAGAGAAATTAGTGGATCTTCTCGGTCGCAATAATGTTTCAGTGCATTCTAACCTATATCAGCTGTATGCTTAACATGCAATCTCTTCTTTTCCATTTCATTGAGGTTGGAGATGGAAATCCATTAAGACTATGGAAGGCATCCACAGAAGTCGAGGCTCCTCCATCAGTTGTCTTGAACCGTGTGCTAAGAGAAAGGCATCTTTGGGATGATGATTTCTTGCAATGGAAAATAATAGAAACCTTGGATAAGCAGACTGAGATCTATCAGTATGTTTTGAATAGTATGGCTCCACATCCAACTAGAGATTTTTTAGTTCTCAGGTAATTTAGAGAAAGAAGCAACTAATTATAATATGATAACTAACTTATAGTCCAACATAGCCTTTCTGAAGGCGTCATCCTCCAGATGGACCTAAACTCCCACAATTCTCAGCATAAAAAGTAGCCATCTCGGGAATGCATCCAGTTAGGGAAAGCTGGTATCAGCATATGTCTCTATCTGTGCTTCCTTTGTTATGTATGGTCATCTCTCTTTGGGCTCCATTGATTTTTCTTCCAATTTATTTTCAAATCAAAACATTGTATAATCTATGCATTATTGTGGAGTGTTCCCATAAAATCCTAACTATTAGCACTCAAACCAGGTGTCAGACAAGACATATTGTTTAATCTATATTGTCATAAATAACATCAATGCAGCTGTCTTAAATTTTTGGATTTGCTCTGCTCCCATGAGAATAGCTGTTGTTTTCCTGGAAAATAATTTATTTTGACAGGAAGCAAATGGCTGTGTAAAAAAATATTCACATAACAGATCACTAAAGAAATAAGAAGTGTATCTATTATTATTCTTAGTATGGTGATAGAAGTGTGAGACAAATAGAGGAAACAAACTGAAACGGTCATTATGCAATAAAATAAATATTTTCCATAAAGTTATTAAATGAATTTATATTATATTAAAATATGGTAACCATATTATCTTGGAAAAAAATCAAGGACATACATGAAAAAGGGACAAATCTGAAAGCGATTCATAAGGTAGCAATTTTTAATTATGTTTATAACTTTGCTTTACAAAGGAATATTGAAGAGCAGAACCAAAGAAAATGCTACAAAAACACATATTCCAATAAAAGTATCTAAAATCAAACTGTACCTGTAAATTAATTTTAAAAAAACAGTTCAGTTTCCATATTTTTCACATGAATGGTACCATTTGTACAATAAAAGCCAAAACAAAAGGCAAATGTGAGTTTTTTGAAAATAAATAAATCTTAAGGACAGCTTATTGAAATAAAAGACTGCTAGTTATAATAAATGACATATGGTCATTGTATATTTAAGGACACTTGAAAGAATTTAGAACTTTCCATAACTTTGTGCCTTCTGCTTTCCAGACCTGATGAGACTCTAAGATGCAAAAGACTCATCAGCTTTGAGGCTAATTGATTAGAAATACTGAGGAATGAACAGCCTTAGTTTGGGAAAGGCTGAAAAACAAACATGATTGCCATTATTTTTATTGCAATGCTGCCCCTCCAATTATGATTTTCCTTATTAAAAAAACCATCTGAACAGGTCCTGGAGAACAGATTTGCCTAAGGGGATGTGCGTGCTAATGGCTATCTCTATAGAACATGAAGAAACTCCTTTGATGGGGGATGTGCGAGCAGTTGTCCTGGATTCCCAATATTTGATAGAACCTTGTGGCTCTGGAAAATCTCGACTGACACACATCTGCAGGATTGACCTCAAGTAAGTTCTATAATGATCAATGCCAACATCTTTGTTAGCAATCTTTTTTCACAACTAGCATTCCTGAGCATTGTTTGGCAATATAAGTAGGACAGTACAATTACTAAAAGAACTTTCATCCTATAGCTGGAAATAAAAATATACACATTGATCTTATGACTCTTTACTCAAGAATATATTCATTAAATTCAGTAGAATTTATTCTACATTAATACTATGTACATTAAAAGAACTGTTGCGTGTATCTGACTAGCCTTCGGTCATACAAGCGGTCCAGAACTATGATGTCATTTCATGATTGATTCTAGTAGTTGAGTGTTCCAAATTATTTTCTGAATTCAGTTTTAAACACAGTTATGATTAAAGAGATCAATACTTAGACTTAAGCAATTGCTATGTCAGATTTATAATTGAAAAAGTATATTTGAAAAATGTATAACCTCGAGCAAGTTAGAAGTTACAAGGGTTTCCCCCCTTGCCAATATATGCATGCATACACTTATTTGGGTAATCTATACATGGCCACTTTATACAGAAAAGACCTATTGTATGTCTTATTGTAAACCTGCAGGCACAAAACAAACCCTGATGACAAATCTTTAGCCCATTTCTAATGTCTGGAAATTTTGGGGTTTCTGCACAGGATCTATAAGTGTATCTATTGTCAGACATCTGCAAATAATATCTTTTTATGTTCAAGTGAGATTGAGGAACTGGTAATTTGATGTAATACTTTCTTTTTGTTTTCCTTCAGAGGTCATTCATTAGACTGGTACAATAAAGGCTTTGGACATCTGTGTTTAGCTGAAGTGGCTAATATCCAAAATTCATTTCAGCCTCTGATTGCTGAGGGACCAGAAACTAAAATCTGAAAGATGGGGAGCCTGCATGTATAAAATGCCATGCATACCTGACAACCACTGGATTTACGTCTTTGTTTGCATGCCAGCTAAAGAAGAGCTGCTTGGAAAAATCTGCCATTATCTCAATTTATTAATTTCCATCACTGAAGAACCCTTTTTTCACTGCTACTTTTTTCTGACTTTAACAGTAAACTTATGTCCTGTATAGTTTTGATATTTAAAAGCTTCTAGGAAGCTTGTTTTAAAGTGTTAATATGTAATTACGGTATTATTATACAATATAAATATTGTATATCTTTTGTTATGTATAATATGTGTATATATTTACATCTATCCCTTTATAGATAGATACTGCTATACAAAAAGAAATTCAATATATAAACTAAAGTGTTCTGGGGAAAAATTCACCTGCTTGGAATTTATTTTCACTTTGTTAGACCCCCAATATACCCTAGCTTAAATTAACTGCATTTACTATCTTTATAAGATAGTAATTTCTAATTTCTTATGTGTCTCGTGTTAAGAACTCTGCCTGTTTTAGTGTTTGCACTATTTCTAAACCGATACATGTAAAAGAAGAGGATACTTCCCTTAGCTTAATTTGGTACCTTCAGATGTGTTGGATTTCCTGTTGGAAAGAAACGTCAGTTTAAATCCAACATGACCAGAGGGCAACAAGCTGGAGAAATCTGGTTTATAGTATTTATAGGACTATTAAAGAGTACATAGTCACAAGAGAATAGCAATGAGGCAGCAACAATATTAACTCAAGTAATTACAATCTGGCAATCATTTACAGTGGCCTGCAGAGTCAGCCAAAACAATAGTTTCCAGTGAAGATTGTAGCTCCTTTATTAATAAAACAAAAATTTACAAGATTATTTTGATGAGATGTACTGAAATCAGTACCTACAGCTTAGGAATGTAGTGTCAGTTTAGACTTTCAGACTTTTCACTTTAGAACAATCCCGTCAAAATCCATAGGACAGTATTTGTGATCTAGCACTAAAATCTCTGGTACAGGCAAACTTTCAGCCAAGTTTAGAGGAGACTGATCATTTATTCAGATAGCTTTTTTTTGAATTTTTTTTTATTTTTAAACACACATAAACAAACAAAACATGAAACATAAAAACATAAAACATCTTTTTTGAAAGCAGCTTGATCCCAGGTTACATCTATTCGTACAGACACAAATTCAAGTTCATGCTCATTTTTATATACCATTCTATATCTTATTACCATTCTACATTTTCTATATAGCTTCTCCCCTCTTTTAACTTTCTTAATTTTATTTTATTTATTTCATCTCAATTCAGATCATTATACTTATATTCTTTGTCTGTCCTGTTTCAGCTGTCTATTATCTTTTCTCATTAAACAAAATTTCTCCTGTAATCACTAATTAGAGTATGCCGCCTTTATATCTTTCCCCTAAAATTATAACATTTAATAAAATACATAACTTCCATTCAGATTCTGCTTGGTACATTCTAAAACTACACACTATATTTAAAAAAAAGAAAAAATTATGAATATATAATATAATTAAAACAATCCATACCAGTTCAATTCTATCGTTAATATTAATATTCATTTAAATCTTAAACATTTACACATTACTTTTCAAATTGGTATCATGCTTCTATGGGAACACTTATAAACTTTCCATAGTTACTTCCACCCGCACTTCACTTATATTTTATAAAACATTGAGTAATTAAAATGTTCCCATTCCTTCCTAATTCAATTCTCTCATTTATTTCATTTCATTTATTTTGTTCACAAAAATTTCACTGAATTACACTGACTATTTTATCCCACTTTTTAATCATATGTTGTTACCAATTTTCTAACATTATTTCTAATACAAATATAACAATCCAATCCAATATACCTTTGCAGAATCTCTTTTTCAGTTAATTTTTCACTCATTATCTCCGAATAAGTCCTGTTTCTTTACATCTTGCTCCAAACCTTTGTAACTTCTCTTCCCTTCCTTCCTCCCTTGCTGCTTCTCTCTCCCCTTTTTACCCCCTTGTCTCTCCACCTCCATTTCCCTCTTCTGTGTTCCCCTTTTCTGTTGCTTTCTAACATTATATCCACTTTTCACCTTATTTTTCCCTTTTTTGGCTGTTTTTTTTAGGTCTTGAATTCTCCATTCTCTTTCCCCCCTTTCCCCTTTCTTCCCCAGATAAAGTTACTTGTTCATTGAAGATGGCTTCCTCTTTGTCCCAATCATCTTGTTGCACAGTCTTTTCTTGTAGTTTCTCGTAGGTACAGATCGCCATTTCTAAGAATTGAAAAACGGAGCCAAAAGAGCCCTTCCCTTCTTGTTCCTCTTCTTTATATTTTTTAAATTCCATTTTCAGTTCATCCACAAGTGATGCCATTGTAAAAAAATTTTTAAACAACCACCCAATTGTTTTTAGTCATTCAAATGTAATTTCCAAAGTCCCAGTCACCAAACAATCCAAATACACACAAGCTGTTTCTTTTAACACTTTTTTCACTTTCTCTTCCTGGGGTTGCTATTTAGTTGCAAAGTTCCAGTTAAAATGTATCTTTTAGAAGTCTTATTAAGATTTAACTTTAGATTCTTTTAAATTCCAGGCAGATTCCTCCAAATCCTGCCCTTATTCTTTTCCTCTCCCTTCCCACTTATAGCAAAAAAAAAAAAATTTTTTTAGTGTTCAGAAATCTTTATTGTCCCCTTGGCACTTAATTATATTTCCAGTTTAATTACCTATTGATGCCAAGGCGGATTTTTCCGATTTCTCGTTCATCTCTCTTCACTGTCAACGTAAGGAAGGAGAGTGGAAAAAAAAAAACTTTCCCTTTTCACTTTCATTCGCTGCTTCCGAATCTTCTTTGGGAGTGATGTATCTTTTATAAAATTTAAATTCCAGGATACTTTAGTTGTTGCTTCTTATCCCGGTCAGCCAAAACTTTCACTTCTTAGCTTCCTCTTGCACTTTCTTTTCCAGATGAGTGCTTCTTTGAGGTGGACATTTCTGACCGCCGCTCTTACCACCTTCAGGAAAGGGAGTTTAGCCAGCTGAGGAGGAAAGATGCGGCTTTCCTCGACCCTGCTGGAATCTCCCCCCTCTTCACCACCTCTACGGGGTGGCTTAGCCCCAAAGCCAGCTGGCTCGGGGCGATCCAGCGGCGAGCCCAGGAAGAAACTGTGCACAACCGCAGATTCCTGCCTGCCGCCGAAGCTCTGCAAACCGGAAGTCTTTTATTCAAATAACTTTTGGATAGGTTGAATGCCTATGGAGATTCTCAATCATCCAAGTTATGGCTGTCCCAAAGGTGCTTTTTTCCAAAAAGAAACCAGACCTTTTTTCCTTTTCCTTTGAAAATGTTTCACCTCTCATCCAAGAAGCTTTTTCAATTCTATTCTATGCTATTTCAGTTTTGGATGGGTTATTATAAGCTGATTTTGAATGAGTAAATCAAAAATTGAGGCTGAAATTTGTGGCTTAAAATATAAAACTTCAAACGTGTAATGTTTACCTTATCCAAGGAAAGTGTAACACCTCTTTAATTTTCAACTCTTATCATATAAATTTCTAACTCTTCTCATATAAAAGAGAATCCCTACCTTTTGCCTTCTCCTTCAAACCAACAATAGCACAAAGTATTTGGAAAATGACTAGGACTCATCTTATAAACCCTGAAAAGTAGTTCTTTTTCTAACATCTCAAGTGTTACAGGCTGAAATGTGATGGCACTTAAAAGAGATGTTGAAATAATCAAATTTTGCAGCTTTATAGGTTTGGCCAAGCTCAGAATAACTATAGTTGATTAGAATGTTGATTGTCATATCTACTTTGTGCTATTGCTTTTTATTTATTTAACCACACATTTAACCATAATTTATGGCTTCACCTTAAGAATATAACTGCCTGAATTAGAGGGAATGAATTGGGCATCTAGTCTAATAAAATCTTTATAAATCTACTGTCAAACATTGCTCCTAGCAATATTATATGCATCAGCTGTATAATTCTAGGTAGTACTAATAATTATGGAATATTTCATTTAGAATTCCAGTCTATACAAACAAAACACCAACAGCCCATTCTGTAACAAAAACTATATGCTAAACTGTGTTCCAACCACATAATCCAATTTTGATTTTTGCTAAGGGCTATCTTTGAAACAACTTCAGTTAAAAAGAAGTTAAGGATTTTGGAAAGAGACAGCCACAATATGTAGAGTCTTCATATTGCCTTAGTAGAGGCCTTCTCTCTTGATCCTGAATGCCAGACTTGGAAGCAAGTCCCTTTTTTTATCCGAAGGGCTGAATTTCCAAGAATGGGCAGAACCCTTGATCAGGACAACACTGCATTTCTCAGAACATAACAAAAAGGAAAAGAAAACTGGTAGCATTTTTGGCAGCCATGTGAAACTCCACCGGATAATATATTTTCAGGGACGATTGATCATTTTCCTGAGGAGGAACATGCTCTAAAAGCATATTTGAAATAATATATGGGGATCAGGGCTTTTTGAAAGTAAAGCCAGCATAAAACAAAAAACTTGTGGTATTCCCAATATGTATAATAATTTGCAAATTGTTTAAATCTCAATTCAACCTGGCTTTTGTTTGTTTAAATTTATTTATTTGGTTAGTCCTTTTGTTGATTTGAGAGTATCAGTAGCACTCTTTTCTTTCCTCCTGCACAGCCACCAACATCCTTTACAAACCTGATTTTATGAGTTTAGAAGGGGTTCCATTGGCAGGAGATATCAAATTATCATTTTAAACATTTAAGTCAAACTAGATTGCAATGTTTTATTCAGTAGAACCTGTGACTAGAAAACAGGATTGTCTATAATTTCTTTTTCTTGACAGATCTCATATCTTTAATGCCAGAGTGGCAAGGACAAATTCAGCAGATAAAGCTGGTTCCAGCACGCTGATAGAGAAATGATTCTCATATATTTGCTAAAGACTCTGGAAGCTACATGCTGTGTCTGCAAATATACAGATCATTTCTCTATCAGCTGCACATTGGTTAAAAAAAAACAAATTACACAAAAACACCGATAAGTTGATAAAGCATAATAGGTTACACAGACTCCTCTGCAGTTTTTATATAATTATATATTTTATGCCTGTACATTCCACAACCAAGACCTTCAATTCAGTGATCAAAAAACTGGATGTTTTGTTTTGTTTATATCGCATGCTCAAAATTACTTCTGTCTTAATTTATTTTATATATTCTGGATTTGTATCCTGATCTCAATCAAGAGCCATAATTCTTGGTAGAGTCTCTGTAGCTCTCTGTGTTACACAAATGCTTAAGGAAGCAAATATTTGCTTGAATCATCATATATACATGTCTTAGCAAACTGAATTAAGTGAATCTGTGCTCACAATGTCAGTTGCATAACAGGAACATTTTCAGAGATTTTGTGAATTTGATTCTCCATTTTACATTTAATAATTGTATTCTCCATTTTATTACCCAAAAAACCTCTCGAGTTGCATCATCTAAATCAAGGCTGTCAAACTCATGGCCCATGGACCAGGATGCATCATGCGCTGGCCACACCCATGCCCCATTTAGTGAAGGAGAAAAAAGTCACAATACAT